ATAATTTAACGGTTAGCGCCTGGAATGAGTTAATTATAGAAGGATTTAAGTATCCAACATCTTAATTTCATCTTTAGAATAATAACAAACAAAAAATAAAATAAAAGGAAGAAAAAAGTGCATAGTTTATTAAATAACTAATTAATTTAAAGTTATTTTTGAATTTAATTAATTTGTCGCTTAAAATGGCAAGAATCAATTATGTTTTGCATCAACAAAAATTAAAATATTAAAATTTTAATAGTAAAATATGACGTTTTGTTTTTTAATGGGCAATTAATTATTATTTACTGTAGAATAATAATGAATCAATTACAATTTAAAAAATATTTACAGTTAAATATTAAATTTCTGATTAAATCACAACTAAATACAATAATCACGCTTGAACACGCACAAAGTCACAAAATATTAATTTTGAATTAATTGCTCGCTGGAACGTACAGCAATAAATCAGTTTCGAAAATGTAAAGTATCACAAGTTAAAAGCTTAACATGTTTTCGATTAGTTGAGGATTAACCGAAAAGTTTCAAATCAAATTACAACAATTTATGACGTTGTTGGCATTGGCACGCATAGATATCATGTCCTGGTGTTATAAGTTAGGTTATGACAGCATTTCTGCGATTTGTATCTTTTAATCTAAATTACAGATTTCTACTTTTCCACATACACACACAGCCCATAACCGTGCATAGAAAGAGAATTTATCATCTATCATGTTTTGCGTGGTGTGTAAATTACAACTGCATAGCTTCTGGATCATAAACAATCTCTTCAATTATAGATTTAAATTTGAATAAATCTTACAACGCATAAATGAATGTGATTCATGCAGGTTTTCGATTTTTTTCGCATTCCAAGAGGTGACATCTGTTAAGGATGAAGAAAACGAAACCTGGCGGATGCTAACAAGAAGCAAAGGTTAAAAATCTCTTCAAGGTGGTGCATCTGCTGGCAAGCTTGTAATTGAGTGCTCACTTACAGTAGCAAACAAATCACTCAACAATATGCTTTATGTTTGATCGCAGCGTTGAATGCGTCCGGCGATGGGCGATGAATAATGAATGAAAATGAAAATCCGCTGGCGTTTAGCGTCGTTTTCATAGACCTCGCGCATATTCAGTCGGCGTTGATGCGAATCAAACACTTGATCTTTGAGATCGTTGAGAGCTTGAGACGTTACGCCGTTACGGTATGTTAAAGTCTAAGTTACCTTCAGCTACCTGCGGCAACAATATGTTTAATTATTAGCGCCGAGCGTTCGCTACCCGGCTGTTTGCAGCGTGTTAACAATTTTCATCACCATGAGCATCCGGATGCTTAATTAGGAATCGCGGAAGTGACTTCTCAAGTATCCCTCGAAAACCTAACCTTAAAAGACACAATTGTAGAGACTGATTGATGTTCACTGCCAAATAGAGAGCTTTTCTTCTTCACGTAGAATATAATTATCGTCTCAGCGTGTACAATGCATGTAAGAATGCCGAAGATTTTCCTTTTTCTCAACGTGTCATGTTCTTTTTTTTTCTCCTGGCGTGCCAGGCAGAGACATGTCATAAAAAGATAAATCAATCAATACAGTTACATACATAATGCATTAACTTATAAGGTTTTGTGTGAAATTACGCTCGGTTTTTCACGACGACGTAACAAGGTCGTTAGGCGTCTAGCGCGTGAAGAAGCCGCCATCAGGATTGGGCATCGTGTGCATCGTATACATCGATTCGATATGGAATTTCGTGCGTATTAACGTGCCGCCATCTCGACAGCCAATAATGCAATCTGTGCACGGACTGCATATAAATACATAATGTGCCTAACTACGTAACTACCGCACCGACCTAGGCCAATAGAGAAAAACGCAGCGATGGAATCAAAGCGTTGAAGAAGTTCAACAAAAAGCTCCGCACGGCTTTTGCGCTAACAAGTGCCGAGCATGTCGAATGTCGACAGCGATGATGGTCGAGTTTTATCTCTGCTTCAGGCACTACTCTACTAACTAACTAGACGTCATTATTTTCGACTTTTTGTCGATAAAAACGTTGAAAAATTGATTTAAAAACATCGAAAAGAAAATTTACAATCTAACTGTTTATGAATACAAAAACTAATATTTATAATATTGACAGGTGCACGCATCTGTTACTTACGGCTTCCATATTATTCAGAATATATAATATTTTTTGTGCGCAACAATTGAACGCGGAACCGTAATGTTCGCGATGTTCACACTGCGGACGGAAATAAAAATAGAAAAACTGCGATGATCGACAAGCGATCGCAATTGTGTACGTTCTATTGAATATTATCACATCTATTTCATGTGAACCACACACAACACGCACGCAGACAATTCTGTGAACTGCAATACACAATCTTCAATAACCGTTAACGTGACAAACACACGTAGTGGGGATTTCGTGCTATACTTCCAACATCACATAACCAAAAATTAAAAAACGTTATTTGATAATTTCTTTTACTTCTCATGACGCTACAGCACTTTACCAATATGATTAATAATAATCACGGCGTGTGTTGTATGTAATTACATCATTTTTTAAATAAACATTGCGAAGCGTGTCATTAGATACAATTAATACAACACAATGTGTTTCACTGGACGCGTGATAAATGCGTCATGCTTGTTCGAACACACAAACGCCGTGCTGTTATTGCTTAATCTTGAAATCTTCACTCGAAGTTATTTTATTCAGACACCTCGTTACCGGCGGGGGTTCCAGGCGTCTTGTGTTTGATGTCAATGCGCGGCGCGAAGTTTTATTTGATCAGCCATCGATAAATGAAGAGCTCGGAATAATTAATGCGTTTAACCCGCATAAACTGAAGCGACTTAAGTGAAGTTTCACATTAAAGACACACACTTCCTATTTGTGCGATAAGTTGTACTTAAAACTAGATTTATTTCTGTTTAATGAAGAAAAATGAAGAATATGAACATGTTTCTGATGCTGGCAACTGTTGCGCTGGAAATTACATCTATTTAACTATACTGTGCATTATCAAAAGGTATTTTTACTGACAATACGCAGGAATGCAGCGCAAACAGAGTCTAGTTATGTTTGAATACACATTGTTGAATGTTGAACATGCGAATATTATGACGTGAGCTTTCAAGATGGCGCGCGGTCATTCCGGTGGCAAGCTTTTGTTCACTTTTGTCTCTGCACCACCTTGCCTTGTACTTCTTTGTGCACACACACCGCACATACCAGACGTGTCAATGGGAATTTCTATGTCATCACCTGGTGCGAACATATTGGTAACGCAACTTTATCCATTGAATCCATTGTGAGGTGTATCACTGAAAAGCATAAAATTCCAGTGCTCGCATTTTAATGATTCGGTTTTTATCGGCAGCTGGCAGTTAAAAAATATGTGATCTTAGTGGTTCGAACATTTAAACCGTGAAAATAATAAAATAAAGATTAGAAACTAATCAAATACAATATGATAATTTTTCAGCGCTCGCTGAGTAGAGAAAATGCGTGATCGTATTTTGCCGCGTGCTGAGAGAGAATAAACTAGATATCTATTATTAATTATCAATAAAATGTAAATCAGCATATTCAGGTGCTATAATTAACTTGTGGCTTAGAGTGTTTTCTGTAATCTATACGGCGCTCTGCGGTTGCTCTTAGAAGTAATAATTTGGCTTCGTAATATTATTAGAAGCCTGCGTCATAAAAGTGGCCCGCTCCACGTCAATAAATAAATTTATTAGTTTATTGAATATTTATAATACCCGGGCTTTTATGCGGAGAGATTTACAAGTAATATTCTACTTCTACGAAGACTCCAATCAACCGGTGGAAAGATTTCGCGTATACATGATATTTTAATTTATTATACTCTATGGTGAGTTGAAATTACATATTATCGAATTGACTTGTTTATTAGGTACCTACCTACATCGTTACAAAATGAACAATTTCAAGTTAATTAATAAATAGTTCTATATAAAGGTTAATTTCTGTTGATATATGCAACCAAGTATACATAAAATAAAATTGAGACAAAAATTAATTAATTTGTGATTTGTTTCCACCTGTTGTTTGTAACAAATTGAAATTTTATTACTCAAACAGATGACGTTGATGCCTAATGGATTTTGTGACACGTGCGGGGCGTGGCAATAAAATAAACAACCACTAATGGGATTAATTTAATTCCGAATCGATCGCTACGCATCATCAATCCTCAAGCTTTGCATCATTTGTTTTCTACCATCTACATTTCTAATCGAGGTGATTCTGAATGTCAGCGTTTCCCATTAGGCCATCACCATTACCATTAAACATTAACCATGCACTCGGTTTTTATTCCATGTTTATTTTGATTTTCCGTGTCAGTCGTCCGCATATGACCAACGTGTAAATTTACGACAATACTCTCTTTCCACCACATTAATTCCATGCTGTTGTGTGGCTAAACGAGCGCAACATTTCAAGATCAACATAAATTAAACTGTAACAAATATAAAAACTTACCCACCGTGCTCGCAAATTGCCAAGTCTAGTTGGTTCTCACGTTGGTAGCCATTATCTTGGTCTATGAACTTGGTAATTAGTGTAAAGCACAGCGAATCGATTTCACTTATGGAGTAAAGAATGCATCAAATTAATTATTACATTACTGTAACGCCATGTAATGTTTTATGCAATTTTAACACTTATGACACTGAATCTACATGTAAAAAAAGTAATGTGCGATGTGGAAAAATTTATCGCTGTTTGAATGATGCATAAAAAAATGTCTTGAAATGGCGTCTGGCGTCTGCAGACGTGTAGCTAAAGCTTGTTTAATGGACCTTGCGATTGATACAGCAGGCACGAGTCGCACTTCAACAACCGTTTGAGTTACGCTCCTAACGCGCCGATTCATATCGTCTTTTAGTATTTCATGCCGCGTCCATCATGTCGATAAATGATAATCGTATCAGTGTTCTTATACCGTATGTGTCTCCGTTTTGCAGATGCTGAGAGCCTGATCGAGCATGCCGCTGTAAATTCGCCGTCCACCGATGCGACGCATGCGGCGCCTTTTCTTCGCGCTGACTCTGATTTTCCAATGGAAAGTCGGGGTGGCGTTGCACCATCTTGGCCAGCAGGGCGGCGCGATTATCACTACCATCACACGCCAGAATAACGGTGATTTATTTGCCGCCCAAGGTAAAAATATAGAAGAAAATAAAATAGAAATATGAATTTATTTTAATATTGTTTAGGTGATTTATTGTGACTACGCACGAAAGTAATTAATTATTTAATTAAGAAATAAATTAGAAACGCTTAGCAAAAATCATGTGTACAGTTCACACGCGGTAGAAGTGAAACCTTCAGAACACTGCACTGCCAGAGAATCAGACAAAAATAGCATTAGTAGTGGAATAATTATTGGGTTTATTTATTATTATATTGGAGTCAAGTGCAATAGTATATTAAGCAACTATCTCTTTTAGTTCACGAGATATTCGCAATTGTCAGAAAAGAGCAAAATTGGAAAAATGTCACTTTTAGCACTTTTAGTCGCGTTTTCAACCTTTTATTATAGGAAATATAATTATTTAATATTTTTATCTGATAGGAATTTTCAGTCTATCATAATCAGCAATTCGTTGGTGGCTGTCGCTTTTAGTTTAAAAGATATTAAATATCAAAAATCGTCGAAAAAAAGTATCAAGCACCCCCCCCTTGGCAATTTTTTCTTAAGAATAAAAATTTCATCTCTTAGATTCACGTTTTAACCAGCGTATCTTATAGAGATTGGTTCGTAGAATAATCCCTGAGATTTGTACCTATTTATCTCTTCTAGTTTACGAGATATTCGCGATTGAAAAAAATGGGCAAAAATTGAAAAATGTCACTTTTTAGCACTTTTAGTCGCGTTTTTCAAACTTTTATTGTAGGAAATATAATTATTTTATATTTTTATCTGATAGAGAATTTTCCAGTCTATCACAATCAGCAATTCGTTGGTGGCTGTCGCTGTTAGTTTAAAAGATATTAAATATCAAAAATCGTCGAAAAAAGTATCAAGCACCCCCCCTTGGCAATTTTTTCTTAAGAATAAAAATTTCATCTCTTAGATTTACGTTTTAACCAGCGTATCTTATAGAGATTGGTTCGTAGAATAATTCCTGAGATTTGTACCTATTTATCTCTTTTAGTTTAGGAGATATTCGTGATTGAAAAAAAATCATGTGTGCAGTTCACACAAGGTAGAAGTGAAACCATCAGAAGTTTTGATTCAGAACCCTGCACTGCGAGAGAATGAGACGGAAATAGTATCAGAAGTGAAAATGTTTAATAACGCATTTAAATCAATGTAAACTCCGTACAATATATAACAACTCGATCAGATTTTAATGCAAATAAGTGCATTCTAGTGCCATCTGTGTTCAATGTAGAGTTGAATTTTAATAAGAAATATTTAAGACTACAGCGTATTTTTATTTCACGGTAACGTGTGTATTTACATAGAACGCAGATTCACCGATGCCTACAAAAAACATGTCGATAAGAACCATCGGCTACGTAAAATCGCGTGATCTTACATGTACACGACTGTCTCCTTTTATTTCATTCTACCTGCACTACTACAAACAAAAGCCAAAACAAAAGATTCTTTGGTAAACACACAAAACTAGTGCAGGTAGAATCGCGATCCGAATTTATTGTAAATAGTGCATTGTTGCGGCATCTATTGTCAAATCAGAGAGTTATATTTAGATAAGGTGCATCCAGTACGAGTTATCAGACGAGCACGATGCTGATATATAACTCCTTTCACAAACACTCACTCTAACACATTTCATATACGCAAATAAATCTTGTTGTATCAGAATCGCGTTTCAAATGTACCTACTGCAATTAAAAGTTAGAAACTGTTGAGAACTTTATCTACATTGAAATTTACTATAGTTAAATCAAAAGTAAATCAAAAAATTTACTAGTTTTTAATTAATTGAAATTCATCATATGTATAATCGCGTATTGGTAGGAATAATAAAGAAATATTTAAGAATGCAATACGAAAATTAAATTCCCGCAACGTGTAAATAAACAAGAACGCATGATATTTTGCACGAAACCGCGTGATATCACACGAACTTGAACGCCTCTATCTTGCAGATACAAACACCTCTCTGATAAACAAACCGTTGTAATGCCGCGAGAATTGCAACCCGAATTTAATGCAAATATCTGCATTGTAGCGGCATCTAGACGCAATTTTACGTACGTTCACTACTACCATAATCAGCAAACAACTTCACAACCCAAATAAACCATTATTAAAAATTAATAAGCACACTAACTAGAACTATTTTGCAATAATTTAAATAAAAACAACCAGAATATATCCTTCCAAACATTTTCATTTCATCATTCATCTCTTTAACAATAAAATACTCATAAAATATACATTAATCTACATGCAAAATAAAATTTTTCTCAAAACCAAAAGTTTTTATTTTTATAGATGATGATTATGATTACAGGTGTAAAATGCAGCGCGGAGACTTGCATCGGCCTCAGCAGTGGCACGGCGGACGTATCCAGTGACACGCCGTGTACCTGTCAATGCCATTCGCATTTACCAGCGTTCCGCGAAGATCTGCAGATCTGCGTGGACGACATTCACGGTTCGTACCTACTTACTTACACACAACATGCGTGCTGATCGCTATCGACTGCAAAACATTTACTAATTGACTTTCATAAACAACCAGCGTTTTTGCTAAGAAAATAAATGAATTTTTTGCTTCATATCTCAAAAAACACAAAATTATTGAATATAAATAATCATGGGAGTTCAAAATGGCAAATATGCATTTTTTTACATATGATGCATACTGTTATATTTGCTAATGCAATTTATAACACCCGCAGTTATATTTCGCCAATTTGTTTTTGTTCATATTCATACATTTGTACAGTTGTAGCGGGCATAGTAAAACAACTTTCTGTTTTATACCCAGTATTCACCAGGACAAGGAATTCCTGTTTTCCTAGCGTGCATAAATCACCCAAAGTTTCCATACATAGTTTTACAGCGTGATGATTAGCACCTCTCGCCTGCAGTTTTTCGCCGTTTAC